AGATTTTCATATTTTCTATTATTTTTAAAAGATTCGTTAATTACGGAATTATTGAAAATAATTGTAACAGTATTAATGCAAATCAGTTTCTTGGAGAAGCCTTGATTGTAAGAAATAATACTGGGGGTGATAATACAATAACTGGTGCTAATATTATTCCAGTGAGTACATGGGATGAAGATTAGAGTATAGCTGGAGGACATCCCACACCTATAGGAACTCCATCTCCAGCCAATTATGCGAATGCTGGTGCAGGTAATTCAATTGTTGCACCTGAAATAACTCTTGGACAATTTTTATACTGCCTTGAATATCTTTATCCTACAGTTGAAGCACAAAAAAATTTGCTTTTCTTTGGTCAGATTACGCAAGAAGGTATGTCAATACTCGAGTATAATGCCAAGATATCAAAACTCGGAAAACTTGCTGAATTACCAGAATCAAAAATAAGAGAGCAGTATATTCGGGAATTAAATCCTATGAATCAATACAATGTTCGCATAATGACTAAATACCATGACACTAGAGATAATATTACAAAAGCATTAGTTGAAGCAGAAAAATTTTCACTACTACAAGGCAACTTTCCATTCCCACCTTCTGGAGGTCAAGTGTCTAATTCCTATGAAAAAAGTATCAATACAGATTTGACTGAAACTGAAGTTAAAAACTTAATAAAATCTATGATGTCAGCTACACAATCTACTGCTTCTAAACCTCAAGAAGAACAATCTAATCAAATCACACTTTCACAAAATGATTTCAAAAAAATTATAGCGGGTTTGAAGGGAACTATTGTTAAAGAGCAACAAACTTTAAAGAAACCCACTAGATCAGGGAAACAAAAAGCTGATGATCTTGCTATGGATCATTTTTTAGAAAATTTAATAGATGATACAAGTTTACCTAGAGAGAACTATGACTATGACTCTGTTGAAGATTTGAGACTACAATTCGAGCAGTTGGATATCAATTAAGCAAAATTAGCTCAAATAATACATGCTGTTTTAAAATCTTCTCAATACAAATGTTCAAAATGTAGTAAAACAGGTCACAATTCTCATAACTGCTCTAAAAATAAAAAGAAAAGCAAGCCTAGATGTTCTAATAAAAATAGATCCAAGAAAAAAGGTAAGGTTAATATAGCTACTAAAGATTCAGATTCTGAGTCTAGTACTAGCTTTTCTGATAATGATTCCAATTCTGTCTTTGACTCTGAGTCCAGTTCTGAATCTGATTCTGAGAATGACTTTACTGAAGCTGAAATCGTGAAAATTATCAATGCTGTCAATGATGTTAAATCAAAAAAAAAGTAAAGCGGAAGGCTAAATCAGATAAATCATTATCTAAAAAGTCTAGTTCAAAGAAAAGACAGAGTCTTGAATCTCCAATTCAACGTTCTTCACAAAAAATACAAAAAAAATCAGGTACAATTATCGATTCACAAATTCGAAAAATTATTCTAGCTATGTTTAACAATTCAAAGGTTATAGAAATAATTAAAAACAATATTAATAATACGAATTTATTTATGATTCAAAGAGTCGCTCCTGAAGGACCTGCAAAACCTGACTTTATAAATTTTCGAGAGCCAGCCCCAGAAATACCCAAATCAGATGATGAAGAGGAGACGCTGAACGATCCTATAGAGATTGATTTCATCCGTCGGAAAGAACTGGTAATTAGTATTGCAACTATACCAGTTAAAATCAAACACTTAAAAATTCCAGTATTGATACTTGATAGTGGAGCTGAACTTGCAATTGTATCAGAAGATATTGTTAAACGTGTGGACAGAAAAATAGATAAATCAGAAAAATATGATCTCAGTGGCGTTGCTACTGTATCAACAGAATCTATTAGCATCACTCGTAGTTTATCGATAACATTTCCTCCAGGTTTTACTATACGTGAAAATTTTGTAGTTGTTCGAGTTCCTAAACTGACATTAATATTTCCAAATCTGCTTCTTAAAAAATATAAATGTGCTGTAGACTGAGGTAATGATAAAATGAAAATTCATTACAATGGAGAAGATTTTATTATTCCAGTCACTATGCACAAAGTCAAGAATAAACTTGAAGTAAATTGCGTTACTGCATCTCAGAATGATAGAGACAGAGTCCCATTGCTTTGCAATAAGCCTTTGGTACCTGATCAAATTTCTCAAGAGGCAGATAATAATGAGAGTAATAATGATCTATTGGAAGAATGGTATGCTCCTGCGAATTTTAGCCTAGATTCTGATAATTCGACTTTAAAAAAAAATGCATGAATTGTGAGAGGTATGAGGAAGAAATATATAATGCAACTAAAATTATCACCAATCTTAATGCTCTCATTCATTGCTACATTGGATTACCCAATAAAGAAAATAGAAAGTAGAATAAACAAACTTTAGAGTTTATAACTCGTCAATTTTATATCCTGAATTTGATAAATTTTTCTTATCTTCTTCTACTGTACATTTAAAAGAGGCTAGTGTATCCTTGGAATATAAGAGCTTTCCATCTGTTTTTTCTGTGAAGTCTTTGGCAATGATAGGTGGGTTGGATATTCAACTGGACTTAGATCTCTTTATTTTTATTCGCTTATTTGGCTGTGTCACCTCAGCTGATATATTATTGTATAACAATGAGACTTTGTTCTTATCTAAAGATTGGGATTCTATATGTAGAACATTCATAGTAGAATTTGGTACATTAGTATTTCGATTAGAGTCATCATCATTCGAGTGAGATATAGGTTGATTCCAAAGAACTCTATTATATTTTTCTCCTTTCCAAATCTGATAAATACGTTTTGTTGATGTTTTATACTTATTCATTAACTCATTTAAAATTTTATATCTTGATTTTATATCATGACATTGCATAATATATGAATAATCTTCGGATGTGAACAGAGGTGCATCAGATTGTATACGTGATCTAAGCATAGTAATAAATGTAAATAGTATTTTTTTTCTTTATAAATACAAGATATTTATATCTAACAAAAAATATATAATATATGGAAAAAATAAAATATATCGAATATACGTATCTTATACTTATTTATTATATATATATCTTATCTGATACATTATAACAGATGTATATATTCTATATGATATATCATACTTAAAATACATATATATTCAAAAAGATATAATATATTTGATATTATTTTTTTGACAAATCAAATTTCATTAATAATATGAACAACAAATGTAATATTAAGGAGGAGTTACAATATGGTGCAAACATTAAATGCTTGCAATAAAACATTGTGAGCTGATCAATTAAAACAAAATAAGAAGTGGAATTGGGAAAGAAAACAGTGAGAACAGGAGAGAAAAAAATGGAGTCAGAAACTAGATGGGTTCAATGCTATAATTCAGAAATTACGTACTCATGATCTTGAACTCATTGATGAAGCTAGGTATTTACAGATTGAAACGTTAATAAAGACATTTCTATTGCTGAATCCAAGGCTGAAAATATTACGAAATCTAAGAAAGTTAGATCACTTGAGTCTATGATCAAGATATTAGAAGGTAAATTATCTTCAGCCCAGAAAGATGTAATTTCGATTCAAAACGACTCATCAAAAAAAGAAACTGAGATCACGTCACTCAAATTCAAAATAGCAGAATTGGAAAATATAAAGAGCGAATTGGAATCAAAGATCAGTGAACTTGAGTGTCTGAAATCGGAGGCTATATCAAATCCCATACTTGATGGAAATGATGAAAAAAATATGACCAAGTCTGATGATATATCTGCAGTTATTGAATCTAGTAAAAGTCTCAGACAATATTTTATACATGAAAAAAGTATGGATCAAGCTAAAAAAATTGATACTATATGTCTTGAGTCAGAAACTCATGGCTTTATCACTGACACTAGCTCCATTATTATACTGAATAACACTGATAATGAAAGAACTCCTATATCCGAGGAATTGGTAATTCAAGGTTATACTTCATCTTCAAGAGTAGATACTGAGATTATTCCCAAGGTAGTGACAAAATCGATATTAGTAAACTAACAACAATATACTCCAAGAAATACTAAATGTGACTCCATATCTTGCATAATGGAAAAATAATAGCAGAACTAGTGATAAAGTATATATATCCTTATTGATTGAATCACAATCTCAAATTCTGATAGGAGAAATAGGAGCGATGAGACCTAGTCTCAAGATTTTACCTCTTCCTATTGTGGCAAACATTTTAATGTCACCACTATCAGTATATATTTTTCTTGCTCTGTTAATTATTGCGGTTATGTGATTTGTGAGATGCACATGGAATATAGGTAGACTCGAAGTGCCATTGCTCCACAGGTCCGAAAAAGCGACTCTAAAGGGTCATAAAAAAAGTGATCGATTGCGGGATATGTGGATCAGGTAATCAAGACTATCTATATGAAGTTCATCATTCAATTCTGAATATTTTATATAAAATAACTATTAGTTTTTTTTCGAACTTTAGAGAAAAAAGAAAAAAGAGCGTGAGAGTATGAGTGAGACTGACTTCTTAAAATATAAGCAAAATTTTGAGACTAAAATGAAAGTTTCTACTACTCCGCACAAAAAAGAACTAAAAAATAAATCTTTGACACTCATTGAATATGCATAATTGTTGTTATATATCTTTCAAGATAATATAATCTAGTTAAGTAGTAATTTCTGGAGAAGAGAGATTGCTACATTCAGCTAGTCATTCATCTTGGGTAGGCATTTCTTACAATAAATATGAGAAAAAATTCAAATAAAAAATTAATGCTTTCGATACCTAGACAATATAAAGAGACTTTTGTGTCACGTAATTTTTATCGGACTCAAACTTTATATATCATCAAACGAATATCAAGAAAGTGATATTGTTGTATAATGAAATTTCACATTAATTATTAGTCAAAATTATCATTTAATCTTATTGGATAATTTTGAGAAC